GGCCTCAATATGGCCCAAGACGGCCCCAGAGGTTCCCAAGAGGCTCGCGAGACGGCCCAAGAGGCCTCCGACGGGTTTCAGTTCAGACGGCCCAAGAGGACCCCAAGATCGCCTCAAGATCGCCCACGAGGCCTCCAAGATGGCCCCAGGACGGCCCATAAGGCCACCAAGACGGCCCCAAGAGGGCTCCAAGAGGCCTCCAATACGGCCAAGATGGCCTCCAATACGGCTAAGATGGCCCCAAGATGCCTCCAAGACGGCCCAAGAGGCCTCCAAGAGCTCCTCCAGGAGGGCCCGAAGAGGCCAAAATCATTAATTTCCCTTAGGTGTTTGAAAGAGTTTTGGCATTTGCGCCTTTTCGGCTTTCCGACGGCCGAAGACGGCCCAAGAGGCTCCCAAGATCGCCCCAAGATGGCCCAAGAGGCCTCCAAGATGGCCCCATGACGGCCCCAGACGCCCCCAAGACAGCCCCAAGAGGCCCCCAAGACGGCCCATGAGGCTTTTAAGACGCCCAAGATGGCCTCCAAGACGGCCCTGGAGCATTCCAAGATGCCCCGAGTCGGCCCAGAGAGGCCCCCCAAACGGCTTCCGACGGCGTCGGACGGGCCAGGAGCCCACCAAGACAGCCCAAGATGGCCCAAGACTGCCCAAGAGGCTTCCAAGAGGGCCTCCAGGAATGCCTGAAAATGCCAAAATCATGTATTCCCTGGCATCCAAGATGGCCCAAGAGCCCTCCAAGACGTCCTCCGAGAAGGCCCGAAAAGGTCAAAATGGCCTCCAGACGGCCAAGATCACCGTCACGATGACCACGTTTTCCCCGAAGGCTTTCCAAACCGATTCGGGGAACACATGGTCCGATAGCTTGGCAGGTCTGGCCTCAACGTTCGGCCATAGGCGCTTCCAAAAAGGCAGGGGGCGGCGGTGATTCGCCGTATGCGCCTTCAATAAAGTATAAGTTTCCCGTCCGCTCTCTGGGCGATAGGCATAACATATATACATATATATATATATATATGTTATATTATATATATATATATATATAATATATATATATCCGCCGACCCTGTCGGCGTGTGTGAGGGGCTTTTCCGTTCGAGCCGTCATCTCCGTCATTCTTTGTACTCGTCGTCTCTGTCCTTCCCTTTCCCTGGGAGACCTCTTCCCCTGGGCTCCAGCCAAGCCGACCTTGAGCAACCTCGTAATTGAGTCGAAGGGAAGCCCCTTCCCTTTGATCCCTCCCCCGCCGGGAGGGGGGGGGGGTAGCGACCCCCCCCCCCGGGTCAGATACGACGCCCCCCCCTGGGACTCCTCTTCCCCTGGGCTCCAGCCAAGCCGACCTTGAGCAACCTCGTAATTGAGTCGAAGGGAAGCCCCTTCCCTTTGATCCCTCCCCCGCCGGGAGGGGGGGGGGTAGCGACCCCCCCCCCCCGGGTCAGATACGACGCCCCCCCCTGGGACTCCTCTTCCCCTGGGCTCCAGCCAAGCCGACCTTGAGCAACCTCGTAATTGAGTCGAAGGGAAGCCCCTTCCCTTTGATCCCTCCCCCGCCGGGAGGGGGGGGGGGTAGCGACCCCCCCCCCGGGTCAGATACGACGCCCCCCCCTGGGACTCCTCTTCCCCTGGGCTCCAGCCAAGCCGACCTTGAGCAACCTCGTAATTGAGTCGAAGGGAAGCCCCTTCCCTTTCATTCCTCCCCCGCCGGGAGGGGGGGGGGGGTAGCGGGGGGGGGTAGCGACCCCCCCCCGAGTCAGATACGACGCCCCCCCCCCGTACCGACCTTGAGCAACGTCGTCATTGAGTCGAAGGGAAGCCCCTTCCCTTTCCCTTCCCCGACGGGGGGGGGAGAGGAGGTCCCGGGGGGGGTCCCGGGGGAGTCCCGGGGAAGTCCCGGGTCAGATACGACACCTCCCTCCCCCACCTTCTCGTCCTTCTCCCCGTTCCCCCAAACCATCCCACAGCCCGTGCCTCTTGCTGCGCATGGCGAACAGGGTCGGCGGCACCGGCCGTCAGGCCTTCGCAATATACATACATACATACATACATACATACATACATACATACATACATACATACATACATACATACATACATACATACATGCATGCATACAAACATACATACATACATGCACACACACATACATACATACATACACACACATACACACATACATACATAACTGCATGCATGCATGCATGCACGGACACATACATACATACATACATGCATGCATGCGTGCATGCACGCATGCATGCATACCTACATACACATATACATAGATACATGCATGCATGCATACATACATACATACATCCTTTACGCCAAGACCAGAACAATTGGAATCGTATGAAGATGCTGCCTTGGGAGCACCGAGCGAGTCAGACAAGTAATATTTGTCAAACACCGCGAGGGCCCACAACCCAGAAGGAAACGGTGGAGGAGTGGAGGCAGATGGACCCTGAAAAACTTGAGCCGTAAGTTTACGGATCAAAGCATGTCGTATGAAAAGCCATCGTTAGCTTCACAACCCTTTGGCCCCGAAGCGTTTCAGACGAGAGACGGCCCAGGCTCCAGGAGTACCCCATTCTTAAAGCACTCCTTTACGCCAAGACCAGAACAACTGGAATCGTATGAAGATGCTGCCTTGGGAGCATTGCCTGCCCAAAGACTGGGACCGAGCGAATCAGACAAATAATAATTGTCAAAAGCCGCGAGGGCCCACAACCCGTCCCCAGCACCAGAGAGCTGTTCTAGTGGGGGAGAGGAGGGAGGGAGGCGACGACGGGAGAGGAGATAGCGTTACACAGACACGTGGGATATGGCTCTGCTCGCCGGGTCCAGAACACCCCTGGGGCACCCTTGGCTTCCAGGGCCTGGTGGCTGTGGCCAGTGCGCCGACAAACTCTTCCTGTGCAGCGGCGCTCCCACGATTCCATTCCTCGGGGCGTGCCGAGGAAGCGAATACATTTCCTCCAAGGCATTCCATACATGCAGTAGTCTGAAACAACGGACGACGCACTCCTTTCAAGGTGTTGTATCTCGCCCAAAAGCCAAAGACGAGACGTGCGAGGGTTCTCAATCACCCAGGAGATATTGTGCTTAGTACAATCACGTGCGAGACTACACACAACGCGCACCAATCTGTTAGCAGTCTGTACGCGTGCATTCTGCTTAGCATCAAGCTCAGGGAGGCCGTACAAATGAGTGTTAGAACGGAGGGGGCGACGCCCATTCGGCCGATCTGTGGCCCGGGAAAAAGTGTTACAAGGAACGCCGAACCACATGAAACAAAGGGAACCAGACCGATTTTTCTCACGCAGGTGCCTCACTACCTCCGGCCGAAGGAGGTCGCCACCGGGTCCGTCGGCGACATCGCAGGCCTCGGTGGGAATATCGGCCCTCGCCAGCCCGCGCGCCAGCTGCCCAGATCCTGAGAAGATCTCGACGGCCCATCTCCGTTTTGGGAACGGGGCGGTCGCAGCAGTCGGCACGGCTGTCCACGGAGAGCACCCTCGATGGAGGATTCGGCAGCCGCGGCGGAGTCCAGGAGGCTTTTGGGACTGCTGGCAAGAGCTTTTTGCATCGCACTGCGCCTCACGTATCTTCTCACTCACAGGAAAGTGGCCCTCCTGCCGCGCTCCACGATGTCTGGCGCCAATCGGCGAACGGAGCGAGCATGTCGACGGAGGTCGCTGTGGCGAAACTGGCAGCTGGTGAGGTTCCAGTTCACGAGCCAGAAGTCGGGGAGGGCCGGGTCGAGGAACCTCCTGCAACCCCTGGGCGTTGTGGGGAGCGCTGGTCGCTTGGCCAGCGTGACTACATCGTCCAGCACGCTTGTCTTGGTGGGGATGTTGGTGCCCGAGGAGTCGAGGATGAGCACGACGCGTGCGTGGCTGCGGCGCCAGCCCAGCCCGGAGCCGCGTCGCCTCTCCAGTGCGCAGGTACGCCTCGTGCATCACCAGCCTCCCCTGGGCGCCCTCGAGCCCCCCGCGCCCGGTCATTGCCCCCGCGATCGCGGCCTCCCACACAAGCGGCAGCTGGAAGTGGCAGGCGACCAGAGCTGCGTGCCACCCATCCAAGTACAGGAGGCTCGTCCGCTGCACCAGAGCCTCGCCCACGACCTCGCCCGTGCTGAAGTCGGAGCCGTGGGCGGTCGCGAAGTCCGAGAACTCCCCGTATATCTGGAGGTAGCGGGGGATCGACTGCTTTCCGACCGACTTCATCTCGAGGGGGCTCACCAAGATTTCTCTCAGCTCGAGCTCCTCCCGGAGTTGGCGACCCCTGCCGCAGCGGGACGGCTGCTGGCGGGCCCCAGTAGGCGACCAACAGATGCCACGCCATGGGGCCGTCCGAGTCGGCTCGGGGGGAGCAGCCGCTTCACCCACCGTGAACTCCGCAGCTAGTGGGCCAGCGCCCGCCCCTCGATGAAGCTTAAGACGAGCAAGCCCACGCTCGCGGCTGCGGTGAGCGTCTGCGAGATAGCGGCGGGAGGCGGCGTCGGCGACATTGATCTCTGAGGGAATCCATCGCCAGCGAACCGTCATGTCCATGGCGACGGTGCGGGCTGCATTTTTCCTACACGATATCAACAGGCCGAAATCGTCAGCACGCCCCTTGGACATAGCGAGGATCATCCCCATGTTGTCACCTATCTTGAGATGCCGCATGCCGCGGTTGGCCACCGACCGACAGGCCCGCCGCGCAGAGATCAGCCCCGCGCGGCCCTCCAGCATCGCAATGTGCCCCTCATCCCTCCAGCGCCCAGCAACGCGCTCTCGCCACTCGAAATCCTTGAAGATGGACGCCGGGACCTCTGGAAAAACCTGCGCGGGTTGCCGGCGCCGTCTAGACCAGTCACGGGGGAGCACGGTCTCAACGTTGGAGAAGCACTCCTCGACAGGAGGAGCCGTCCGAAGGGCATGCTCACGCGGTCCTCCCGGTTGCTCATACTGAAAAGCATAACGCCAACGCTCATCAGTCTTCCCGATCTCCGAGACCACCTTCTCCGGCAAGGCCGCGGACAGGACGCCGCACACCGCTGGACTGGCGTCGAACACCTCCACCTCGGAAGCCCAAGGCCGCCGCACGTTCGCCCTGGCGAAGGGCAGCATGGCAGCAGCCGCGCGGAGCTCCTCTGCAGCCGAACGCCAAAGCCGCCGTGGTCGGAGGTAGTGGCACTGCACAAAGGTGTAGTAGCTGCGGAAAATCGAGAGCAACGGCCTGTGTCCCAGGAACTGGAAGGCAGCGTGGCCCAAGAGCCGCTCCAACTGGCGACCGCTGAGCCAGGGTCGCTGGCGGCTCAAGCGGCGGCAGACCTGGCGAAGCCGCCAGGCCTTGGTGGGGCTAGGGCGATGCTCGCCCGTCAACCCATCGATCGCGACACCCAAGGACTCGGCCCAGCGCCGCGCAGCTTCCCCCTAATGGACCTCGAAACCGAGCGAGGTGAGCCTCCGCTTGCAGTCCTCGCGGAGGGCATCGGCCTGGGCCTTAGAGGACGCAGCCGCCACGAAGTTGTCGCAGCACGGCAGCGCCAGCTCGGAGCCCGCCCGAAAAGGGGGCGGAGGGGCGCGATCCTGGATGGCCGCGCCCGGGGTCCAGTCCCTGATCTGGCTGACCTGGTGCGCGTGCAAGACTTGCGCGAAGAAGAAGCTCCGCGTCCAGCCCATCGGCATCACCCTCATCGCGGGCGCTGCGGCGTCGGCGTTCTAGAGGTACCCAAAGGCGGGATCACCATTGGCAACCGACTTCAACTCTTCTCCAGTAGTGTCAGGAAGGTAGAAGAAATTCTCGAGCCCTGGCGGCAGCCTGCACGCGTGAACGTAGCCCTCCACGTCACTTAGAGAGAGATACATATCAGTGTCCGTGTCCATCACGACGTCGGCCCAGGACTACCCCGAGCCCATTGGAACGTGTGGGCACTCTCGGAAACGGGCACTGACACGTCTACAATCAACGACGAGGCGCTGTTTGCCCGACTTCTTCCGCACAAAGAATACCGAAATCCTGCCTCGAACCTGGTCGGCACGTCGCCAAGCGAGAAACCCGCCTCTGAACAGGTCCCCAATGAAATTGATATAACTGCGTCGACTGAAGCGAAGCCGAGGGTCCATGTAGGACCCAATGTGCTCGAGACCCCGCTCCACCTCCGCCCCCCACTGGTTGTCGTCCTTGAGCAGGTGGGTGTCAAAATCTACGATCATCTTTGCGGCATCTGGCGGCAGCACCTCGGTCAGCGGGACGGGAACCCGCCCTTCACCAGGGATCGACACCAGAGCACTGTCGTAGGGAACCACTGTCAAATCATCGTCCCCAGAGTAGGGGACTCTACTCCCGAGAAGCGCACGCATGGCTTCCTCGTCAGAGGCCACCTCGCATGGCGGCCGAAAAGAGTTGAGGGTGTCATACAGGTGGTCAACCGTGGCGCGCTGGCCCAGCGACGAAAACTTCGTGTTGGTCGCAGAAGAGCCCGCGAGCCAACGGAAGGCCCAGATGCTCTCAATCACCTCATCCGTGAGTCGACGCCGAACCTGGACACGTTGCCGAACACCCCGAGAAAGATGAGCGCATGCAACGGGTTCCTGAGGCACGTAAGGCAGAGGGAGAAGCTCTCGCGGGACGTCACGCTCCTCGGCACAGACCCCAACAAGAAAACCCAGCTGACACGCCGGGAATGCCCTGGATCTCGGCCCACCCCTCAGGCGGTGGGGGGGGCCGCGCGCGTCTGTCATGGGGGATCCCCGCCCTGGCCCTCCCTGTCGGGGCCCTTGGGCGGTATCCTCAAACGTAACTCCTCGCTGTGCTTCCGAAGCTCCTTCCAAACTGATGCCTTGTCGCAAGCCATCCCAACTACGTGCTTGACAAAAGGAAATGCGGCCAAAACTTTGCCCCGTCCAGGTTCCCACCCCGTGATGAGGTCGGCCCTGGTGTAGTCGGGGCTGCCAGGCGAGTCGAGGCACGCCTGCCCACTCAGCATGACGCGCATCCCGAGCGCCTCACCTGCGACCCCTTCCCGCGCCCAGCGCCGAAAGCTTGGTGAGACACAGCAGCAAGCCCTCGGCCGTAGACGTTGCCGATCATCTCGCCTTCAGCGTCAGACAGACGCCATGCCTGCAGATCCCCTGACACGGAAAGATCCCGAGGGTACACGTCGCCGTCGGCTATAAAGAGGGAAACCACGAGCACGCACACGCAACCGATCACCACGTTGCCGTAGGAAAAGAAGCCACTGGCGACGGCTGTCGCCATTCCCACGTACCACGACACCCCGCCTCGAGCGCCCTCCGACAACTCCTCCGCCACTGGGAGCTGGCGCTCGTGCGCGGCACGCCGCGACCAGAGCTCCCCCAGCACCTTCACGAGGTCTGGGCACAATCCCGGGCAGCTCGCGTTCTGTCAGAGCCCCTGGGCACGGCCGACGCCGAGCGGCGCCCGAAGGATGTTGCCTGGCACACCCACACAGACTCGCAGCGGCGAAGAGGCCAGCCACCCGATGATGGCCGCAAGAGGGAGGCGTCGGGCACCCTGCAAGGGCATTGGACCCTGAAAAACTTGAGCCGGAAGTTTACGGATCAGAGCATGTCGTATGAAAAGCCATCGTTAGCTTCACAACCCTTTGGCCCCAAAGCGTTTCAGACGAGAGACGGCCCAGGCTCCAGGAGTACCCCATTCTTAAAGCACTACATACATACATACCTGCATACATACACATATGCATACATACACACATACATACATGCACACATATATACATATATACATGCATACATATATAGATACATACATACATACATACATACATACATACATACATACATACCTACACACACATACATACATACATACATACATACATACATACATACAAACATACAGATATACATACATACATACATACATACATACATACATACATACATACATACATGTACACACAACCACACATACATACAAACATATATACATACATACATACATACATACATGCATGCATGCATACATACATACATACACATACACATACACATACACATACACATACACATACACATACACATACACATACACATACACATACACATACGCATACACATACACATACACCTACACATACACATACACACACACATACACATACACATACACATACATATACACATACACACCTACACCTACACCTACACCTACACCTACACCTACACCTACACCTACACCTACACCTACACCTACACCTACACCTACACCTACACCTACACATACACATACATACACATACACATACACATGCATGCATGCATACATGCATACATGCATACATGCATGCATGCATGCATGCATGCATGCATGCATACATTCATACATTCATACATTCATACATTCATACATTCATACATTCATTCATACATACATACATACATACATTCATACATTCATACATTCATACATATATACACTGTGTTTGGGCCGCTATTTGCCACTGCCTTGTGGACACGTGGACATATTCCTGGCTCCGAACTCACGTGCCTGGCGACCGTTCGGGACGATCTGGGCACCTCCGTGGAACGCTCTCGGCGAGGCGTAGCCGCTGGAGAGCGCCCCGAGGCTGGCACATCACTGGGCACCGACAAACAGAACAGGCTACAACGCAGTAGTTCGAATTCGCCGGCCCAACGGGCCAGGGCGTGCTAAGATCTCCGGTACCTGGTTAACAGTATTTCTAGTTCGCGCGCGGGGCGGCCCCTGGGGGTCCCCGGGCGAAAAGTACCCTGGCAAGGTCCCGGCAAGTCCCCGGCAAGGTCGGGTCAGAGATGCCGGAGTTCTGTTTCGGAGTCCAAGAGGGCTCCAGATCGGTCCAAGAGGGCCCCGAGAAGCTTTCTAGACGGTCCAAGAGAGGCCCGAGACGGCCAAAGATCGCCCGAAGACGCCCCAGATGGCCCCAAGACAGCCCAAGAGGCCTCCAAGACGCTCCAAGGGCCTTCCAAGAGGCCTCCGAAGAGGGCCCCAAGTTGCCAAAATCGTTGATTTCATTGGTTTTTTCGATGTTTTTTTGCGTTCTGGCCTTTTCGCTTCCGGACGCTCCAAGAGGGCCCAAGAGGCCTTCAAGACTGCTCCAAGACGGCCCACGAGGCTCCCAAGACGGCCCCGGAGCGGCCCAAGAGCGCCCCCCAGACGGCCCAAGTGCTGCCCAAGGCGGACCAAGAGGCCCCAAGACGGGCCCAAGAGGGGCTCAAGAAGGGAACCGAGAACTGAAAAATCGAGCCCTCCGCCCCAGAAGGCGCCCAGGACCCCGAAAGAGGCCCCAAGAGACTCTCCAAGACACCCCCAAGACGCCCCAATAAGCTCCCGTGAGGCCCCAAGAGGACCAACAACGTCAGGCCCCAGGCCCCAAGAGGACCAACAAATACCGCCAAGAGCCCGCCGAAAGCCCCCCAAGAGACCGTCACGAGAGCTCAGGAGGCCCCCTGGAGGCCTCCCGAGTTCTCCAAGAGGCCTAAAGAGGCGCCAAGAGGCCCCAAACGGCCCCACCGAGGCTCCAAGAGGCCACGAACGCGCAAGCAAACGCCTGCGATGGCACAATACGGGCCGGCGGAATGAGCGAAGCGATTAAATAAGGATGCCGCATCCGCATCCGATCGTGCGATGTCCCGATGCTTGTTCAATGCGGGCCCCCCGAAGTCCCGACACTTTCCCTTCAGACATTTCTTCACCCCGGGTCGTTTTCTGACGGTCCCGGGGCCCAGCGAGGGGCTCCCCAAGGCTAAAAACTGGCCAAGTCCTGCCGTTGGGATGTTTCTTACCACACGAACCTCACGAGAACGGCGCGCTTGAACCTTATCATGCTTGGACTCCCTTCACGCCTCCAGGCCCCCCTCCAGCTCGGTGCGGTGCCAAGCTTGTCGGACTCTGAGGGCCGAAAAACTATGCGCCGTAGCACTCATGTCGTCCGCGGCAGGCTGCCACTATGGGACCCCCACCCCGAGGCTCCTCCCGCACCTGCGCCAGCTCGATCCCGCGAAGGGCCCCTGAGGCCCCGCGAGGCGCGAGGGGCTTCCCGAGGCCGAGAACGGACAAACACCTTGCAGCGGCTTTTCATCACGACGTGAAGCTGCCATCATCAGAGGCCTCCCAGATGGGGTCCGAGTAGATTTGGTCGGGGGATCGCGCCGCATGGCCAGTGCATCGCAAATGCGTCGGCGATGCATCGGATACATCGGGGATGCGTCGGCGACGCATCGGCGACGTCGGCTTCGGTAAACTTGGGCTCCACATCGCCCCGCATCGCCGATGCATCGGCCAGGCGGCGCGATCCTTCGACCCCACCTGCTCGGCCCCCATCCCTTCCCCAGAAACCAGCAGCGCAGTGGATATGAATAAACATCTGGTCCCCAGAGACCAGATGTTTATCTACGTCCACTGCGCCTCTGCCTCTTGGCGCCCCCATTCCAGGAAGTCCAAGACGCAGTCGATGTGATATTCGGGGGACAAGCAATGACCTTCACATAAACTTTCGGAGGTCCGCGTGGATCTCTCGCATTGTCCCTGGAGCCCCCTGGCGGCGCCTCCAGCGCCGCCCCTGGCGCGATCCGCGCGCCACAGAGGGGGATCCAGCACCGATCAGAGAAATCGGCGCGGACCTTCAACAAAACTTGTTCATGCCATTACCCGCCAGTCGGAAGAAGTAGGTGGAAACATGAAGTAGGAAGGCGGAACAAATGTGTTGGGTTCGGGCCAGCCCAAAGAACAACAACACACAACACAACACAACGACTCTTGAAGTAGGAAGGCGCTCGAAGAAGATTGGGATTTTGATATCCGAAAACACATATTTCCGATGTCTCTGTTCCTCAGGATGCAACTCTTGCCCGCAAAACCGAGATGATTGGGGAAACCAATAATAACTGATACCGCTACTCCCTGCACCTCTCCCGGGGTGTGTTCTGACCAGGATTTCGAAGCGAATTCAGCGGTGGCGACGAGGGCCTCGCAAGAGGACCAAAAACATGGAAAACGGGCCAAGGGTAGGGGTACGGGTACCTTGCCCTCCTCCGGAGAGCTGCAATCATGGGACCCCTCCCAACGCCCGCCGCTCCTGCCGCAGCTGCGCCAACTCGCGCCGCAGGCCCTCCAGCTCGGCGTCGGGCTCGGGCGCCTGCCGCAGCTGCGCCAGCTCGCGACGGTGCCGACGACGGCGCAACTGACGACGACGACGACGACGCCGACACCGACGCTGACGCCGACGCCGCCGCCGCCGCCGCCGCCGCCGACGACGACGACGACGACGACGACGCCTCCGCCGCGGGCGCGACGCTGGGCGCCGCCGCGGAGAGCGCGCCCTGCCGCGCGAGCGCGAGGCGCCACTCGTTCAGGGCGGCACGGAGCAGCGAGGGCTCGGTGCACCCGAAGCGCAGCGCGGCCCACCGCAGGGCCGCCTCGCGCCGCAGCGAGGCCTCCTTCGCGAGGCACCTTTCGATGATCTTCAGAGCGTGTGTTAGCGGCAACGTGTGCTTGTCCACCGAAGCCCTCCACTACGAGGCAGACGCTGCAGCGAGGGCCGACGCAGTCTGCGTGCTATCGGCGGAGCTGAGCAAGGGAAACACACACACACACTTTTGCGCCGGCGGCTAGGCGATACACACACAGACCCACACACAGACCCCCCCACACACAGACCCCCCCACACACAGACCCCCCCCCCCCCCCCCCACACACACACACACACACACACACACACACCGCACACACAGACACACACGCACGCACGCACACACACACACACGCACGCACGCACGCACGCACGCACGCACGCACGCACGCACGCACGCACACACACAACACACACACACACACACACATTCACACACACAGACAGACAGACAGACAGACAGACAGACAGACAGACAGACAGACAGACAGACAGACAGACAGACAGACAGACACACACACACAGAGATACACACACACACACACGTCCTGAGGATCATCGAACCGGGCGGGCGGGGGGGCGGCTGCGGCGGGCCCTGCTGCGGCCCAGCATCCAGGATTGCGTCGTGTGGTCCTTGCCCTGCTTCCCCTGGCTCCCAGAGGTGGCCGATCGTCGATCCCCGACGGGCGATGCCCGCGCCAAGGCCTCCAGAAGCCCAGCCACGCCCCGCGTCGAAGGCTCCAAGAGAATGGCAGAAGGGGGCCTCCTCCTCCTCCTCCGCGACCTGTTCCCCATACGCCTCCTCAGCCTCATAATTCTGAGAGGGCGCGTTTCACTGGCGCCTGGACTGAAAAACTCGACCCCCTCCTCCCAAGAACCAGGGGCCCCCAAAAATCACCCCCAACCTCCCATGTACCCGGGGGGGGGGACCTGCTCCCTTCCCTTCCCGGGCGGAAGGGAGGGCGGAACCGACAGGGGCCCGGAGGGGGGCATCGAGAGCGACGACGACGACGGCGATGACGACAACGAAGAACCTGTGAACCGGTCGGGCGGGCGGGACATTTGAATGCAAGCTTCACTCTGTGTCGGGATGCAATCATGGGGAAGTATATCACAAACGCCGAAGACGCTGGTCAGGCGGGCAGAACATTCAATGAAACCTGTGGTCAGTGATGGGACGTACAAATTGGGCGGGCAGGACATTCTATGCACTGTGTGAGCTGATAAAATTGAAGGAACATCGATCACAACCGCTGAAGGCGCCAGCCGGTACATGAAAAGAACCATGCACTCAGTGACGGAGCGTCCGTATAGGGCGGGCGGGACATTGAATGCAACCTTCGATCGCTGGTAGGATAAGGTCATGCAAAACTACATCACAAGCGCCAACGACGCGGGTTGGGCGCGCGGAACAGTAAACGAAACCTGTAGCCAATGATGGGGCGTTCGACTTGGGCGGGCAGGACATTATGTACAACCTTCACAATGTGAAATCAACAATTTCTCCAGGAAGATCGATGACAACCGCCGAAGACGCCGCGCGGACGGGCGGGACACTAAAGAACAAAATACCACACCCCTGAAGACGTTGGTCGGGCAGGGGGGGGGGCATACAATAAAACCTGCCCTCAGGGATGCGGCGGCTGGATCGGGCGAGCGGAACATTAAATGCAGCCTCCACTCTGGGCAAGAAGAAAAAAGAAGAAACACTTCCCCACCCTGCGAAGACACTGGTCGGGCGGGGGCGGGACAGTAAATAAGACCTTCACTCAAGAGGGGTCCGTCCATATCGGGAGGGGACAACGGCGGGTGCGTCGTCGTCAACATCGTCGTCGTCGTCGTCGTCGTCGTCACCGACGTCGTGGTCCTCGTTTCTGCGTTCTGGCCCCCTGTTTCCATCGGCGTCGCCGTGGTGGCCGCATCCGCAACCGCCGCCGCCGTCGCCATCGTCGTCGTCGTCGTCAACGCGCTCGTCGTCGTCGACGTCGTCATTGTGGGTCGCCATCGTCGGCGTCGCGGTCGCAGTCGCCGTCGCCCGTCGTCGACGCTATCGTCGTGGTCCTCGTTTGCGAGTGCCGGACCCCAGTCGCCATCGTCGTCGCCACCATCGCCGCCATTGTCGTCCTCGTCGTCGTCGTCGTCGACGTCGACGTCAACGTCGCTGTCGCAGTCGCCGTCGTAGTCACCTCTTCCCGTCGTCGACGCCATCGTCGTGATCCTCGTTCGCTCGTACCGGCCCCGCCTCCCCCTTCTCAGCCCTTCTCCTCCTCCTCCTCCTCCTCCTCCTCCTCCTCCTCCTCCTCCTCCTCTCCCCCTCCCGCTCCCCTCCTCCTCCTCCTCATCCCCCCCTCCCCATCCTCCTCCCGCCTCCTCTCCTCCTCCTCCTCCTCCCTCTCCTACTCCTCCTCCTCCTCCTCCTCCTCATCCTCTCCTCCTCTCCTCCCCCCTCCCCGCCTCCTCCTCCTCCTCCCCCTCCTTCCCTCCTCCTCCTCCTCCTCCACCTCCTCCCTCCTCCCCCTCCTCCTCCTCCTCCTCCTCCTCCTCCTCCTCCTCCTCCTCCTCCTGTTCCTGTTGTCTCCACAGCGCCAGGGGCCTCCAGAAGCCCAGCCACGCCCCCAGCTCCGCCGCGCCGCCGCCCGCGGCCCACAGCCGCAGCAGCCGGTCCGGCGCGCGGAGCCGCCGGGCCTCGCACGCCCAGCCCGAGAGGGCGAGGGACAGCACCAGCCTGGCGCCGCGCGCCCCATTTCGGAGCAGAGCTGAGGAGGCGGGGGAGGAGGAAAAGGAGGAGGAGGAGGAGGAGGAGGAGGAGGAGGAGGAGGAGGAGGAGGTGGACAGGGCGGACGAGGAGGAGGGGGGGAGGGGAGGGGGGGGAAGGGGAGGTCGGCGGCGAGCCCTGGAGGGAAGTGATAACGGGCGTGCCTTCTCAGGAGGCTTGGAAGTCACTTTTCTGATAAGTATCCGATGCCTTCACCGAAGACATCGAAAACATCTCACAAGGCGCGATGGCTTCTGAGAAGGTCATTCCCTTCTTACCTCACCCCCTCGCTCGTCGCCGAGAAGGAAGGAGAAGGAAGGGGAAGAGGAGGAAAGGGAAGAGGAAGAAGCTCCCGGTTCAAGGTTGTCGGTTGCAAGCTCCTGGCTCCCGACTCCTGGTTCCCTGCTCCCAGTTTCCCGCGCTCAAATCGTTGTTCCCCGTTGCCGTTCCCGGGTCCCCGTTCCCGGTTCCCTGTTGCCGGCTCCCAGATATCGGGTTCCCAGTTCCCGGTTCCGTTCCTGGCTCCCGGTTCCTGGCCCTTCCGAAAGAAGCCCATCCGGCGCGCCGAATGGACTCCATCGAGCGCGCGGCGTGGGAGGTGCCCACAAACCTACCCAAAAAAGGATGGAGTCCATCTGGCGCCGAATGGATTTTCGAGATTAGAGCCCATCCAGCGACGAAAGAATCCATCCGGCGTCAAACAGAGTCCATCCGGCGAACCGATCGAGCCCATCCGGCGGCGTTCGAGTCCATCCAGCGCCAAATTAGAGTCCATCCGGCCGCATTAGAGCCCATCCGGCTGGCAAAATGAACATCATGGCATCCGAGTCCACTCGGCGGATAGCCCAATTGTGCGCGCTGCTTGCACATCCCCTCGACCCCTCGACCCCGCGCCCCCATGCCTCCACGACCCCATGCCACCCGCGACCTTATCACCCCGCGCCACCCCGCGACCCTATCCCGCGACCACAAGTCCTCACGACCCCGCGACCCCACCGCCCACCAAATCACCGCCATGTCACCCGGCCGCCCCACGAACCCGCGACCTCACGCCACTGCCCCGAGAACCCGCTGCTCCGCAACCCCGCAGCCCCACCGCCCCGCCACGCCACCGCCTCAGCGGATCCTCAGGATCCTTCTCCTTAGGAAAATCATTAGGATCATTGAGGATCCCTAGCGGATCCAAGGAGGTCCCCGCGGATCTTTCGGGATCCTTAGCGGAACCCTGAGGGAAAGTTGGGGATCCGTGGGGATGTTTCGCTGTTCCCTAATGAAATCCTCAGGATCCTTTGGGATATTTAGCGCGCCCCCCCCAAGAACACCGTAAAAATCTAGGGATCCTTAGCGGCCCCAGGGGAAAACCCGAGGGATCCTTGGGGATCTTCAACGGATCCTTAAAGAAGCCCGGGGCCACTTAAAGGATCCCCCCAAGGATATTTCGGGATTCTGAGCGGCACCCTCGAGAAACCCTAAGGACCCTTGGGAATCCTTCGCGGATTCCTATAGGGAAACCCTAGGAATACTTGCGGATCCTGGGCGGATTCCTTAGGAAATGTTTGGGGTCTTAGGAGGACCTTGAACCCCAGGGAATCCTTAGGAATCCTTGGCTTGAGGGATGGGGGTTATCCCCAGTGAAGCCCTAGGGATCCTTGCTTGGGAATCCTTCGCGGATCTTTAGGGAGATGCGCGAATTCATTCCACGTTTGCTGGGGCCCCCCACCGAGCACCCACATGACGTACATTGCATACCAATGAAATGCCAAAACAACAACGTGGAAACACACGTGACAGTCCGTGCGCACTGGGAGATTTGAAGGAATGCGCGGGAACGCCGAGCGCTAGGTGCGCCCGAGAGGCACCAGCATAAGAATGCGATTTTTTGAGCGAGGGCATTCCAAACATTAGAATTGCTTGGGTTTTTTTTCTGAAAAATTCAATTCGGATTTCAAAGAGTCCATTCGGCGAGGCCTTCTCACAGAGCCCATCTGGCGGAATTAGAACCCATCCAGCGGGATAGAGCCGATCCGGCTGAAAGAGAGCCTATCCGCCTGAGATTAGAGCCCATCCGGCGCGCCGAATGGTCTCTCTTTTCCAAAAAATCATTTCGGCGAGAAAAACAGAGCCCATCCGGCAAAGGGAGTCCATCCGGCGAAAAGAGAGTCCATCCGGCGACGCGACCTACTATTTGCAATGCTCTCTACACGTTTAGCTCACGCAGATCAGAGCCCATCTGGCGCTTGCACGGCCACCGCCACCACCCCCACTTGGCCGCCGGCCTCCCGCAGCGGAGACCCCGCTCTGGCAGGCCCCCCCCTCGGGGAGCGGCGAGGCCCCTGCGGGTCGCCGGACTTCCCGCCCCGCGCCCCGCGATCCGCGCGGCCCTCCTCGCGCCCTCGCGCCGCCCTCCTGGGAGCGGGGCGCCCCCCACCCCGGCCGCACGTGCGCCCGCCGCCTCGCTCCAGGTGGCCGTGAACGCGCCGCCCAGGCCGACGACCGCCCCTGGTAGAATCGGGGGGAACGAAAGAGGGGGCCAGCACAGGGCAAGGTTAGGTCGGGCCTGGCCCCTACAGGCGGATTCGGGAGGACCGCTGGAAACACAGTCCAAAACAGTTTTTTTTTGGGGGGAAAAAATATGAGAATCGTCCCCATACTTTCTTTTGTATTTTTGAATTTTCCTCCTGTAGAGGGACAGGCCCGACTGAAGGGTAGAGAATCAGCTCACGCAGCTAATCTTCCCAGCGCCTCCCGGCGCCGGGAGGCGCCCACGCATCCAGGAATGCGCCCGGAGTAGGGGCCGAAACCAGCTGCACGCAGCAGATTTCGTACCCCCCCCTTTCTCTTAGGAGGCAACTACTGGCAGGTTTTCGTCGGAAAGATTACAAAGATTAAGGGGGATTAAGCCCCATTTGGGAACTATTACGCCGGAATGGGCCTCGGATTAAGCGGGATTAAGACGGATTAAACGGGATTAAGCGGGATTAAGCCAGACTTCGGACCAATGCAAAATCAGAATTTGACCTCCCAGGAGTTGCATCCCAATTTCCCTATCCCCCCCCCCTCCCGTTCGGCTCGATAGAAAAGCCCGAGAGGCGACCCGGAGGCGCGCGCGCATCGCTCCGCAGGCTGCGGGCGGCTCCTCCATCTGAGCGGGGGCCTCGCGCTCGTTTTGGATCAGGTCGGGCACGTCCCCCTATAAAGGAGGATCTTCGACGTAGAAGAAAAACGAATATTCAACACAGACGCAACAAAGGCCAAGAAATACTCAAAAAGTCGTCCCAGGCTATGTTTTGATTTTTTTGAAGAAGTTCCCTCCCTCCTGTAGAGGGACACGACTTCTGCCGTCCCTCGCCTCGCGCTGGAGCGGCCAAGATTTGTTCCACCTGACCAGGGAGACCTCTGCATCTGCCTGGATCTGCCTCGACGTATCTGGACTTACCCCGACTTACCTCCGGCCGGGCATGTCCCCCTACAGGCGGATATTGGACGAACAATACACCATAATAGCCAACAAAAATCATCAAAACATAGTCCCCCTACTAACTTTTGACTGTTTTTGAATATTCCTCCTGTGCGAGGGACCGGGCCGCCTTAAGACTTACCTCGATGTACCTTCATCCCCGCGAGGCGATTGGAGAACGAGCGTGCAGCGCGTACAGTAAACCCGTATACTAAGGATACGCGATAATGATGCAAAGGCCTTGGACGCCCATTTCGAAGCGTTTCGAGCGGGGCGCCGCCAACGAAAGTGGCCAAGGATGGACCGAGGAAGCGAGGATGCACGGGTAGCCTTGGGAGGGCTGCCCATCCTTACTATGCGGGTCGACTGTATGGATACGCACGACGACATGGCGACCTTGCGCCAGGGCTTGCACAGGCCGCCGGCGTGGCGCACGCGCGCGGAGGCGACGGGCGCTCTCGCGCGCGACCTTGCGCGGGGAGCTGGCGCGCGAGCGTCACGTGTCGGCGCAGTCGAACGCTGAGTATCGTTTATCCGATCCCCATCCCCAACGGAGTGGCCTGGGCCCCGCTGGCCGATCTCACCCCCCCAGGATGGGGATAGACGCCGTCCCCTTCGGGTTTCGAGGGGCGTATATCCCCAACTGGGGAATGCATCTGGTGGGGGCCTCGAAGGGGATGGGTATGGGGAAGGGGATGGGATAGGCGACACCGAGTTTCGGCGCAGTCGAACACGCACCCTCGTGTCGCTTCCCTGGCGGATGCGAGCCCGCCCTCGGGGGGCCAGCGCAAGGGGCACGGGCCGGGCGCGAAAAAGGCGCCCGCTCGCGGGGCGGGGCCCAAGGGAGTCCCAGGGTTGCCCGACGCGCTCAGCTCCGCCCCCGCTTGTCGGGCGGATGACGCCGCTTTTTCTTCGGAGGCGCAGAAATTGGCGAAGACATGATGGGCTGGGAGTTTGGCGCGGATTTCTTGGATCGGCGCTGGACCCCCTTCCGTGGCGCGCGGAGCGCGCCAGGGGCAGCGCTGGAGGCGCTGCCAAGGGGCCCAGCGCCAATCCGAAAGAGCCACGCGGAGCTCCAAGAAATCATGTTTGTGCCGTTCTTGCTCGTCGACTCTCGATCGATCCTTCGCCTGCCCGCTCGCTCCCCGCATCGGCGACGATGCAGGCGAACAGCCCAAGGGGAGCAATGCATGCACACAAGGGCGCCAATTGGTCCACATCACTTCGGCGGGGCTCCCCGACGAACACGTGCACGCAAGGCCCACCCCTGGGCTGTTCGCCCCGACACCGGCCACACGCAAGTGTGACACCGTGGCCACGAGTGGCCTTGAGCGCGCGTCCTTCGGGGGCACGCGGGGGTACCAAGCCCGAGCGCGGAAACTGCTGCTATCGCATCGTGCTCAGCCATCTGGAGGCGCCAATGTGCCCGCACCAACGTTCGCCTCCGGCGAGTAGCCGACTACCGTCACCTCCAGCCCAAGGGCCCTGGCGGCCTGTCTGGCGAGCCTCCGCGCGCCACGGCGAGCCGGGTCAGCGCGCCGGGGCCACGGCCAGGCCTCGCAGGCGCAGCGGCCGCGAGGCTGAGCGCCGCCGCGCCGCGCGGGCTGACCGCCAGCGCCCCGTCCTCGGCACCACGGGGTGATACGCCACGAAAAGAGAAGGGGTGATACGCCACGAATGCGACACAGGCACCCTCCGACAAATGTTGCATGTGCCTTCAGGGAGGGCGGCGGCGGTGTACCAAGTCGCTGGCTCTCATAGGCGATTTATACACTGCCACCATCCCTATGAGGCCCAGGAGCCGTCCATTGGTAGGTGTCTGTGTTATTCCCAACCCTCCTTGGTTGGGTATTCGTTTTGAATAGAGCAGTGTGGTCGCGTCCTTCCTCCTCCCGCCTCCCGCCTCTTTCCTGCCTCCTTCTGTCTTGCCTGCGGGGGGCTGTGAAACTGTCGCCAGTTTCGAGGCCTGCTGGGGGGTCCAGCATAGAGGGTAATCGCGGCAGATCCAAATTAGACCTCGCCATTCCTGGGGGGCTGCGATCTGTGAAACTGTCGCCACTTTCGAGGCCTGCTGGGGGCTCAGCATAGAGGGTAATCGCGGCAGATTCAAATTAGACCTCGCCATCCCTGGGAAGGGGGGGGGGGGCTGCGATCTGTGAAACGGTCGCCACTTTCGAGGCCTGCTGGGGGGTCCAGCATAGAGGGTAATCGCGGCAGATCCAAATTAGACCTCGCCCTCCCTGCGGGGCTGCGATCTGTGAAACTGTCGCCACTTTCGAGGCCCGCTGGGGGGCCCAGCACAGTGAGGGCCACGCGCGGATTCAAATTTGACCTCGCCATCCCTGGGGGGCTGCGATCTGCGAAACTGCCGCCATTTTCGAGGCCTGCTGGGGGGCCCAGCACAGTGAGGGCCACGGGCAGATTCAAATGAGACCTCGCCATCCCTGCGGGGCTGCGATCTGTGAACCTGTCGCCACTTTCGAGGCTTGCTGTGATCCCCGTTTTCGAAGTGGCTAGGAGTGCTCAGGAATTGTAAATCATCAGCTTTATCAAGCCCTTTTCCTGTAGCCAGTGTCCTGCGAGTCTCCCGAATTCCGTCTGCAGACATATGTAACCCTCGCTCCGTCATCGCCCCCTTATAAAGTATCCTAAACTATTTGCGCCCCGCTTTTGCGCAGGGGTTGGGTACGTCGCCAGGTTTTTTATATATATTTATATATATGTGTATATATATATATATATATATATATATATTTGTTTTACATTTTTGTGGCGAAGGTGAGCAAGCAACTTCTGGGAGGTCTACGGGAAACAAATTAAGGGCTAGCAAGCAAGAGTTCACGGGCCACTAGGACGGATTCCGCAGGTGAGTAAGCGGGACTGGGCGAAGTTAGGCCAGATCAAGCGGGATTGCGCCGATCAGGCCAATTTCGACCACGGATAACTATACAAACGCCAATGCTGAATTCAACCTCCCAAGAATTGCATCCTAAATGGGGGCGGGGGCTCAACAGAATCCGTGA